CCCTCTCCCACCCCCTTTACTCAGCTGGTGGTCTTCGCCACGATAACCTTTCTCAGAATATCGCCCACTGCTCCCCCACCCCCCTTACCCTTTTTGCGATCACATCTCATCACACGAAGATGTTATGCGCCCACGAGGTTACCCGAGCGGGTGTCCGACACCGCAGTGTGTGTGAGAACCCTCGGCGAGAGCAGTTGGAGGACGTCGTGAAGCTCCCCGGCACCGCGACCATCGCAACGACAAGGTGAGGCCGACGCGGCCGCGTTGACGGCTCCCCTGGGCTGGGGGCGGGGCAGTTCTCGCCCGGACAACATGGACCTGCGGGGCTGCACGGGCACGCCACAAGTGCTCCACCAAGACACCACCGCTTGCAGCCGCTTGCACTGGCCAGAGGGACTCGGTCGCAGGGGCAGGGCCTCTCTATCCTGCTGCGGACGACACTAATGGGCGGCAAGCGGCGGCAAGCGCCAGCCAGGAAGTAACGGACTATACAGAAAGGGGTCGATGTCGTTTAGGAGAAAAATCTCTTCTCTACCCTCCTGACCTATCTGCAAGGGGGCGGGGACCACCCGAGGTTGTTCCTTGGGGCACCATATGGAGAGGAGTCCATTCTCGTTTCGTGGAGAGCTGGGGCAAAAGAAGGTACAGCGGCAGTGAGGGAGGGAGAGAAAGGGGGTGGGGAGTCCTGCGAGTAGGTCAAGTACTAATTTGGATACAAGGTAGTATTACATCTATACCCAAAACAAAGTCGCAAAATTGTGTCTTGATGTTATGATCAGGTAAAACTGATAAAAGTTCTTCAAGTTAAGACACCATAAGCTCATACCAGAGACCTGCAAGGGGCAAGGAACGAGCTACGCTACGCGAGCTGCTAGACCCTATAGGTCAGAGGGGGGTGGAGTAAGGCATTTAATTCGCGAAGTTCGCTCCATGCAGGTCTCTAGCTCGGAAAAGAATTGCGACTTCTGGGGTGATTTCGGCGCCGTTTCCAATCAGTTCGCAGAGTATTCAGCAGGTCGGGGTGACTTTTAATTTTATGCGGAAATACGATCTATGTGTTGTGTGCAGCAGTTAGTCCGGGAGGAAAGGTGGGTGGGGGGAGATCAGGAAGAACGGGGGCGATAGGGGGCGTTGCCGATGCCGCGGCCGAGACCTTCCTAGACCCTGAGTTGTGTCGCGAGGCGAAGGCGAATCGAAGACGACGCGAGCGGTGGTTGACACACATGACCAAGTGTTGTAACCATGGCCGCGGACCGCTCACAATCACAACATGCAGCTAGGTCAGGTCAGCCCCGAGCTGGCCGCACGTCTCTCTCTGTGCCTCCCTCTCTCTCTCTCTCATTGTTTCGTGATGGTTCTCGCACTCCCACCGTCGTCGCGTCGCATCGGGCGCTCTCGCTCTCGATTGTCTTTGGGAGCAGCGCTTCTCGTGGCGCACAGGCGGAGGCGGCGGCTTATCAGTGATGTGATTGCATCGCGAGAGAGAGAGAGAGAGGGAGAGGGC